TCTCCCCTACCTAATGGCATGGGGAACACCAACCTTTATTCTATGGGTTGACATTCTCTTGTGGTTGTGGGTTTTCTTTTTTTTATGTATTTAGTTTTTTTAATTTATAGTCTTTATTCCTTCTTCAATAATGAATTATAGTTTATTAATTTCAGGTTGGATAAGTTCATTTGACCCATAATGCCTAAACTTAATTTGTGGTTAGAACAGAAGCAACAACCCCCACATATTCCTTTTGCCAGAACACATGCTTCTGCAGCTTAAAACCTCCTAATATTTATCTTGTTTGTTTGTTTCTTTTTCTTCTTATTTTAATGTGAGTCTTGCGGGCTTTGTTCAAATTCAAAGTGCAGCTCTTGATGATACATTTCCCTCTCTCTACGTATCTAGTTCTTTTATGTGCTAAAATAAGTAAAAGCAATGGAATGTATCAATGACAGAGTCTGTCAGCTTCCCTTTCGTTGTGAAGGGGACGGACCACAGGGGTCAGTACTCAGTAGTAGGAATCTTTCTGAGGATCACGCTTGAAAAAGTCCGTCGTTGGCTTCCCCTTAAAGCGAAAGCTGAGGTTTAAAGTATTCAAGTAGAAATTGCAGAATGAAATACAATTTAGAAGGCCGGGAGTCGGGAAATTGAAGTCTCTAATGTCACCACATCTGCTTTTTATTTTTTATTTTTTTCCCTTTGTTTGTTTGATCTTTACTCTCACAAACGAGACTCCAAAACCTGCTTATTTTATAGCACCGTGAGTCCTTACTGATTAAAATTATGGTTTAGATTAGTTTGGAGTTTGGACACACGCTAGGAATGATTATTTGTTCAACTTCAACTTCATGAGCTATATGTAAGACCAACAGCTGCATTTGGAAAGATCATATTTTGCTGGCTAGTGGCTACTGCTACTAGGGTCTCTCTCTCTCTCTCTCTCTCATGAGTCATGGGCTCATGGGCATCCAGGGAAACTCGTTGTACGAATAATTGATTTTAAAAGAATTGCCACGTCATGATCATGATGGGTAGGGTTAGTGGGGCGGTAATTGAAATTGATAGCCACTTTGTTTCCTTTCCCTGTCCGGGGGGTATGCCGTAGACCAAGCCGAAAGTAGAAATTCTAAGAAGAGCATGGGCCTTTGGCCCATGTGATAATCACTCGTTGGTAAACAAACAACTACAGATCTTGTGGCCAGAATTTCTCCCACCGGCCAGGGAGTAGTTCGTGCGCTTGCTTGCTTGGGCCAAGTCAATGCATGCGCGTCTTTTATGTATATTGACGTGGCAAAAAGTTAGGCTCTTTGAATGGAGGACGAAAGCACCGCTTCACCGAAGCGTCCTCCCGACCGAGTTCCGAGTTCCGAGTTCCGACCTCCCTAATGTTGAACACGTGATCTGTTTGTGCACTGAGGAGGATTCAAGGTGAGATCACCCGCTGCGCCTGCGCGTCCGTTAGTGGAATGGTCGTAAGATAAAGTCGATATGGATCTGTGAAGGAGGAAGAGGAGGGAAGTACAGAGTTGGAAATCTCACTTTTGGTTTACCAACATGGAAAGCGCAATAATATATTATATATCCCACTTCATTCATTCTTATTATTAAAGGTTGGTTTCCTTTCCCAATGTGGCGGAAACGATGGAGTCGCTTCAGGTTCACGAATCAGATGCGCTTTTTCTCGTCAAAACAAAAAGAAAAGGGCTAGTTTTAAAACTGTCATTCATTAATTTATGGTGGTTTTCTTTATTCTGGGTTAGCCTTAGCCAGAAGGCCAATGCCAAAGCCCCAAGAGTACGGAAGCAAAAGTTAAATTTTGGGTGCAACCTTGACTTATGAATTTATGACGACTATATAATTAAATGGGCACATATATAGCTGCAATGGGGGCTCTGAAAATTAGTAAATGGGTGGGTCCATTCCATAATTCATAATAATACTATACAATTAATAATGTAGGCCTAATTGTTCATATATATAATATGATAATGATGAAGATGAAAGGGGAAAGGGGAAAGGCCCACCATTTGTACAGGGTTTTGCGCTGTAGGTTGTAGGTTGTTGGGTGTTGTGGTATGAAATTAGGAGCCAATGATTAAGCAGTATATGAGGAGAAAAATGTTGGGCACATTGCAATTGGATTGCTTCACGACCGAACCCGAAGGAACTCACATATCAATGTGCTACTTCACGACATCTCTCCACAACCAACCAACCAACCTGCACCATCAATATCAATGTCCTACTTCAGCTTGTCCTTTTCTATTTTAAAATTGGAAGTCATTTTTGTCTAGATGGTATGGCCGATTTCTATTCGTTGGTGTAAAACAATTTCTACACCATTAATGGAAACTTCGACCGAAGGCAACTCGTGAGGAAATGGATAGATTTGTAATTTGACATATTAGACTAAAGCCACATTTTTTTTTATATTGTACATGGGAAAGTAAAGTTGGGTCAATCCAAAATTTGATTTACGTTTAAATTATGAAAAATTTCTGATTAGTATCTTGTGCTTTGGACTTAATATCATTTTGGTCTTTAAACTTTAAAATGCGACAATTCAATATCTAAACTTTCAAAACATGACAATCTAATACCTGTTATTAACCATCTATTAAGTGGCACTTGAAAAATAAACAAGTGTTATCTAATTTTCTTTATAAACCATTCAAATATTGACAAAAAAATAATAGTTTTAAATCCTTGCCTCTTCTATTCAAGAAAGTTGGGGTGACCAGAATGTCCACTCAAATGTAACCCTAACTTTCTTGAATGGAAAAGGTAAAGATTTGGGACTAATAATTTTTTGTCAACCTTTAGATGATTGATAAAGAAAATTAAATAACACTTAAAGGACATTTGTGCCTTTTTTAAATGCCACTTAACGGTTGATTACCAGTTAATTAACGACAAATATTAGATTGTTACATTTTAAAAGTTTAAATACTATATTATCGCATTTTAAAGTTTGGGGACCAAAGTGACAATAAGCCCAAATTACAAAGTACTAATCGAGAATTCTCTTTAAATTAAAATCTCGATTTTAATTTTCTTTTTTAGTATACGATACTATCCACCAATGTTGATTCCACATCAACATTGGAACAAACCAGTTAATATACTAACGACCTATTGGTTTCGATTTTAATTAGGGCGCCACTTTTATGGCTAAGTATATGTTGTTATCCTTCTCCCAGAGAATAAATCATTTTCATGGAGGGGAAAATCCTACTGCCAGCACACAAATGTCTGAAAAATTAATTCTCTCACTTATCCGGCTAGCCTTTCTTGCCAAAGGAGCACGTACGGATAGAAGCATTTACCTACATCTCGGCAAAAGAATGGACCGTTAGACTCTGTCCAATTCGATTAAAATCTGAACTGAATAGGAGGACGGATCGAGTTGAATCACTCAAATTTTACATCCAAATTCAAATTCAGAATAATCCGGATCGGATGTCCAGTGGATATCAAACTTAGATTTCATAGTCCTTTAGTCTTGCGTTCCAATTGTTAATGTATGAATTACTAGATATTTATTAGTTAGAATTGAATCAAATTGTTGTGGGGTCGATTTATGAAAGCCACCCCATGATTTCAAAATGTGACCCAACAAAATAGACAGTTGAAACTTGAGAGAGAGAGAGAGTAAAAAGACAAGAGCTGGCGTATCACATAATATATATTAGGCCCTCTTCTTGGCATGGAACTTGTTTCTCTGATCAGTTCGCTCCTGGCCGCTACCAACAGCAGCTCGGACAAGATAGCAGCAACGTCGCAGGGGTTTTCTTATCGTTGAGATTTGAGAATTTGATATTGACACCTAAGATATTAAACCAAACAAAGCCCAGGTTAGTCATCACTCTTGATTCTTGATTCTCGAAACTACAGCTATTAATGCGTTTGATAAAGATCCCTAGCTAGCAAGGCCATGTTTGGTTTGACACGCACTCAATTTTCTGTTTCTTCAAACCAAACACAGACCCAATTAACGTCAAGGTTCATGCACGGTCAGTTCAGTCCGTCAACTCCGATCCACTGGACTCCGAGTAGCAAACTAGCAATGTTCCTTTGAACATATATGATGAAGGTGATTTGGCCCCGACCTAGTGAAGAGAAGACACGTGGATACGATCTGACCAAGAGACGATAGCTCAGCCTATCAAGTTTAGTTCGCAATAATTGAGCTCGGGTATTCAGTCACCTTGGTATAAGGCTCACATCGATGCAAGGCCACCTCAGCATAAGGCTCATCTCGACACCGAGGCACCTCGGTATTCAATCCAATTTGGAACTAAAAGACCGAAGTACCAGCTCGGGACCAACAACTCGAATCACCACGTATTGATTCCCGCGTAACCAACTCCAGAGATTTCTCCAACAGATCCCGAATCTCTTGAGATCACGATGAGCTAACAGATCCCGATTTTTTCAAGATCATGATGACAACATCCCGATTCTGCCGGAGTCGAAAGTGGAACGATGAGTCTTACCTGTATACTGCTCCTTCGGAAGCGAAACAAACTCTATCTCCACACCTCGGATATCCCGGAGCTCTTTCGTGAGCTCCACGACTACGTCAGTATATAAAGGCACCAACCCCAATGGTGCAAGATACGCGTGATTTTTCTACTCTCTAGCTCTCTAGCTCTTTAAGCTCTCAAAGTTTTTCAACTCACATCAGATTACTGACTTAAGCATCAGAACGACCTCGCCGAATTAGCCACCCCGAGTTCTCTAATCCTATCTTATAAATTCACTTAACTCACCGGCCGACTAGAAATCAAATCATCTTCCGGCAAGGAATAGTCAGATCGCACAACATCAATATATATTACCGCTTGTCTGCTTCCTATTTACTACTAGTTAGGGCCCCAGTCCACCATTGCTTTTTAAGTTCTAACATAACTAAAAGGCGGTGGATTTTTAATTACTATTCTATGTTTCCCTCCTTTGAATAATTTTTCTTTTGTTATGTATGGGTTTAAATGAATTCCCCTGAACCTGAAGAATACGCGTCCATCTCCATCTGTCCATCTTCATGTGCAATTGTGCATCGACCAGCAGTGGAAGACTTCGGTCCATAGAGTCATGATCATCCGCGCCGCGTCTGTCTCGCTTTTTCAATTTTCTCCCACCACTTCTCTATTATCATTTATCATCCCCCTACCATACGAATACGTTGTTGCAACTGAAAACTAGCTCCTCTCTTTTGTTTACTTAATTTACACACGCTCTGTTCATCTCTCTCTTTCTGCATTATTTTTCACAACTCACCAGTCACCATTCATCAGACGCTACAGACGACAGAAACACCCCTTCTTCGTTATTATTGTTTCGAGACGATCACTTGAATTGTCTCATTATCTCCTCCCTTTCTTTTAATTAAGCGACAGTCGATAGTTGTCTATATCAAATAACAGGTGGGCAACACAAGCAATCCCCATCTAATGGTTGATATTAACCACAACCAGTGAGGCCATGATATCACATGAATGAAAGGCACCATCATCCCCAGGTTTCTCATCCACCGATCTTGTTCTTTCTTTATTTCTCTTTTTTCTTTCTTCTTTATAGTCCGCCCGAGATAGGTAACTGAAGTCATTTTTTCATTTTCATTGTCTGAAACCTCCAAGCCTACTCGAGCTTCCAGCCTTGGAGCTTAGAGAACACTTGCAACCTTTCAGGACTACTACATCACCCACCATTTCCATCTATATATATTTCTTTATCAACAAATAAAACCCATCATTCCTTTTCTTTTGTAGATATAGTTCGCGTCGTCTCAATTTTCTTGAACGAATGTGAAACAAGAAAAGGAACAGGCAGAGGAAGAAGAAGAAGAAGAAGAGCAGTTGCAGAAGGGGAAAAAGAATTACAGAGCAGCAGCCAAAAAGTAAATAAAAAGTCTTACTTTCCCTTCCTTATCTTTGACGATGCTTTAGCCTTTTGTATTTGTCATGTTTAATTTTTATCTTGGTTCTTGACTTTGTAGCTTCCATCAATTATCAGCGAGAGCGAACTACCCATTGCTTACGCAATTCAACTCGTGGCCCTTTGATATAACCCCTTTAAGTTTCATAGACTCCACCAACCCCCCCCCCCCATTTTCTTCACTTTCTTAGCTCGTTCGATGGCTCAAGTTAGAAACTTAGAAACACTGATTGACAAAAATTCAAAGCTGGTGAGAATTCCCTTTCTTTCTTCTTTTTTAATTCAATATCATCAACTTATTTTTGTTAACTGTATTTTGGCGACTGTTTTATCGGGTCTCGCGTTTTGTATTTCTTATCAGTTGTGTCCCGTGTAGATAAATATGCATAGATTTCAGAACCAGATCGAGCCCAGAGATGGTTGGTTCAACTGACAAGCGACTTTTTCATTTGTTTCTGTTTCGTTTCAGACTTTCGACGCTGCTTCTCAGAGTCCTTCTTTCGAGATTGCCGGATTCGACAAACTGGGTACTCTGAAAATGGCGACATGTGATCCCCAAGTATTTCCGGACAGAGGCGACAGGTCTGAGAGTTTCGTTCTGGATATGGAAAGCTTGGCTCGTAGCACCGAAAAAGACGTTACTGCGAATTCAAGGATAACAGTAGGACAATTTTTCACTCAATTTGTTTTCTTTGTTGGATTCTTGTGGACTGCATCTTTGTCCTCTGTATGTATCCTGTCTTCTTGAATTCTTCGAGTCCATATTGTTCTTGCAGTTTCTTGACTGAGATTTATCCAAATTAATTGAATTTAACTTACCAATTTTGTTCATTGAATCATGATTGATGAACTTATTGCAACAGACATAAAGAAGAGTTAGAAAATATATCTATGTTTTCTGAGATAGAAAGCCGATGCCACCTTCTTAAACCTGAAAACATGACGATCCAATGTCCTTAACCATTAATTCGTGCTCTCCTTTTATTTTTATAAAAACAGAACTGCATCTACTGTATGTTTTCTGTTTTATTGAAAGTTTTCTTTATCAACATATCAAAACCAGGCATTCAGGAGAATTTTCTGTAATTTCTTTGCAATTCTGGGGCAAGATGGTCACTAACAAAATCGCAGAACCAAACTCTTATTACGTAAAAAAAAAAAAAAAATGTTTTCACTGAATTGGGACTAGTCTTTACAAAGAAAAACAGTGAAGATTAATTGTTGCGCAGACTAAGGATGATATTATGTTTCTGCTGATGATGAGCTTATGTTTTCTGTTTGAAAATTGAAGTTACAGAGAAGCTTGTCTCGAAAAGGGTCTCAACGAGAAGAAAGGAAGATGACTGCTACACTTTCTTCTATCAGTACCAGTGAAAGAGGCGATTCTACCATTGTTGCCTCCGCAGATGATGATTCTAATAAAGGTAACCTCTCCTTGCCAACTTCTTTTTGTGGTTCTCATGTTTCAAGTAGCGTTAATTATAGATGCAAGAATTTGGCTTCTACCATTTTCATCAATAAATTTGGATTTATAGACGATTTTGATTTTGATGTTGTGAGAGAGATGATGTGGTGGAGTCAGATCTCCTGCCATCAAAAATACGTTTCAACACTCTTACCAAATCTGACACCGCACATCTCATCTACTTTTGTAATGGGTCCCAATCTTGGTGAAATGTGTGGTGTTAGATCATGATGATACGGTGTTATAACTATAACGTGTTATATTGGCAGGAGATGCAAATTTCACTATCGGGATCTCCATAAGAATTAGGAACATCTATGTAAATAGTAAGGGAAGATGTTCCCAATGTACAGTTATAGTTATCCTGTGGGTAGTTGTGGATAGATGATTGAGACGGGATGGATGCGTAGATGAACATTGGGGTTGGGGGGCCACAATCACAAATGTTATACTGAATCAGTTCAAAATCTTGTAAGATACAATATAAAGGGCTGCAGGCTGCAGCTGCACACAAGGATTTATGTGGATCCGTGGGCGGGGTCCTCTATTAAATGGGATCCGTAACAAGAACCTATGATCCAATTATACAGAAGAAAAGTCAAAAGTCAATATATAAAAGGAAATCGACAAATCGTGCATTATTGATTAACCATTCCTTCGCTCCATCGCATGTGCCAGCAGGAGCAGCAGCAACAACAGAGGCACAGGGTTTGATAGAATGCAGCACGACGGCCAAAAAGACAACTGTAGTTGCAATGGGGACCACAGAGCCCATGATAAACGGACAACAAGGGCAGATGATGATGATGATGATGAACAACAATAACAAATTAGAAAGCTTCAATAGATGCAATAGTAGGAGATACAGCGGCAGACGCTCTTCCTGGTTCCTCGATCCTCGCAGAGTTGTTGTATTTTTCGCCACTTTGTAAGTTCCCCACTGCCTCTCTCTCTCTCTCTCTCTGATCACGCTTATGCCACGTGGCAAAGGTTAATGATGGTTGCCACGTCAACTTAAAACCAGAAAGCAGATGCCAAGTGTTTGGTATCCATGAGAAAACGTATAACCGTTGTTATTGGAAGAGGGCCCACGTTTTTGCTGCACGCAGCACGGTTGATCCAAATCTAGAACTCCCAGCCCCAGTGCCGTCGATTGTTACACCAATCCAACGGACAAAAAAGCGGACTTCCCGACCCAAGCCTCAAAATCACAAAACGGCGATCCCCCAATATTTGCACTTTGCAAGAAGATACATGATTACATTGGTTTGTCCTTTTGTGATTTGTTAAGGTCCAGTACATGACCCGTGATATTAGTCTAGTATCAGCATTTATCCGGTGATAATCGGTGCCGACGTGCCGTTTATATTAGTGATTAATGGAATCCTTTCAATTTCAGCGATTTCTCTTTTCGGTAAAAAAATTGTAGTAGTAGTAGTAAGAGATTAATAGATTTTTTTTTTTGTTTTGTCGTGTCTTTTTATTTTATTAAAATCTGACGAAACAAGGTTGGAGTAGGAAAAGCCTTGTTTAGCAAGCATGGTTCCAAATTAACCATTACCATTATTGTTCTAATTTAATTAATCAACGATAGTGGTTGTAATATCACTATATATATACGAAACATCAATATTAATTATAATTAATTTATTAAAATCATGAACATACGCGTGTTCTTCAATCTCATTTAATTATATCTATTTGTTTAATTTTTCAGGTCAAGCATGGGAACAATACTACTAATATACTTCACACTCTCCATCAGCAACAACCACCTCATCAGCGCAGACGACTACTCTCACTCCCGGCAGTGACCCCTCTCCCACCCTTTGTGTTTTTGATTGGTGTGGCATTTTTTTCTATGTTCCACTATTTTCATACCCTTTACAGCAAAGACTTTGTCTTGTGCTTTGCTTTGATGTAAGCGACAAGCAAATCAATCTCAAAGATTTTCAATCTCAAAATTTTTGCCATCCATTTTATTCTGCTGATCATATAAATTATACAGTCTAGCCTGGCTAAAGAATGAAAATGAAGAGCATGCAAGAGTAACCCTTTTTACTATCTTTGTTGAATTTAATTTCTTATTGATATTTGTATGTATGTATATATAGAGAGAGAGAGAGAGTAGACTGAAATTAAAGAGAATCTCCACCTACATGCCTGCTCATTACAGTAGGAGGCGACTGCAAACTGAAAACCCAGAAGCAGAGAAATGAGTAAAATATATAAAAAGGAATGTAAAAAGGTTACTGAGGAGGAGTGAGGACCACCATCGCCTCTAGCCAAATCTCCTCCTTTTGCCTTTAAAGTTTTGATGTCTTTTATTTGTTTTTTTGTTACTGTTGGGCGGTATGAGAGAGGGACGAGGAAAGTATAAAAGACAGTGCAACAATGAGAATGGAGTATCTAATTAATAAGATTGTCTAAGAAGAGAGCCATATGATGTGTTCCCTGCTGGCTCCTCTTTTTGGACATTTCTTCTCTCACTCTCACGCTCACCCTGATCACCTTCCTGTTGGCTGGTAGTTCAACTGTCGCTTTTCTCTATATCTTTAATTACTTCTTTTATCTTCAATCTTCTATCTTCTATTTCTTTCCTTCATGTATAGCATGATTAGTACTATTTTTAAGTTTTTTTATGCAACGTGGTTTCATGTGAACAATAATATATTGAGGGAGTGGAATCAGCAGCTGATCAGTTCAAGATAGACTTCTCTCCAACCATGAGCACGGGTGCCAATACTAAAATAATGACAAATACAATTCATGAATATTTCATGGGTGTGCGTGCTTCTGACATTATGGGAGTGTGTTTGTGTGTGTGAGCCTATGATATGTAGCTAAAGGAAGACGCATGCTTGGTTATGATGTGCGAATCAAAATCATGCTCATTCAGTTCTCCGTCCCTTCAATTCCTTTATGTATTTGGCAATCAATGGGCCATTCATGGTGACTCATCGTCCAGCAGTGTCCACCCACCCTTTTTGCGATTTGCGCACTCGGAGTCGAAGGACATCCATTCTCTCACCTGTACCCCGTTTCAAGCACACCGCATCAATCAAACAGAAAAGCCATTTTTCTTAATTAGGTTACGATTTTGTAATTTTCCTTTCACTATATATGTTGCTGCGCTTCTGGACTCCAGACTGTTATTATTGATGCTGCAACCAGTCATTTGTGAAAGCCAGAATGTCTGAAATCCTTTAGCAGTTTCTAGGCAACTTCTTGACTTGGCAACCAGTCCTTTGTGACTGTGAGTATACATGATCATCACAATCCCCTCCAAAGCTCTATTTTCCTTCATAGACTCCCCAAAGCTTTGGGTCAGTTCATTGAGTATAACTCTTCCTGAATTGTGATCATGCTGCACCGCAATAAATTCCTACAATGTTAAGAATTTGCACCTAATAAGTTGTTGTCATATGATGGTCTCAGGAGAGATTGAGCGTATTGCTCGGATTAGCCGAGTACAATAAAGTAATTTTCTTCCCTTGAGCTCAGAGGACTAATAACTTGAGGATGAGGTACCGAGGCCGAAGTGATTGAATTCCGCGGAAGCCGAGGACTAATAACTGGAGTGGTGTAAGACAAAGGAGGTCAGGGGCCTCGGGTTAGGACCCGCCCGAGGTAGAGATTCTGACGGTCAAGTCAGTGCAGGGGTGCGAAGAGGGGAATCAAGTACAGACAAAGTCTCCGAGGAGGCTATGCGTAAGTACTGGAGGGGGTACCCCCTATATATCCTTGAGCCGCCTAGAGGTTGATGCAGATGAACACCTGAGATGGGAGACGTACGAGGGCAATTAGACAGCTCTGCGGGGATGCGTGGGCGCTCAGCAATTGGCTCCGTACGAGGGGTGCAAGGTAGCTCCTGTTGTGGTTAGTTGCATTCCTGGTTCTGGCGTTCATGGACTGGGCCTTCCAGCCCATTTTGGGCTAGGCTGGGCCACCCTACATCACATGCCCCCTCACTCCCGAGGCCGAGGTGAAGAATTCAGCTTCGGCTGATGGGAGTAGTAATGGTGAATGCTAGTGGGTCCGACAGCTGAGGTGTACCCTGCAATGGCATTCCCTTTTGTGTCTATGCCCGATTCGTCTTCATAAGTTGGGCCAAAGCCACAAGTGATTTGCAACGCCGCTACTTTGGATGGGTGATCAGGGGTCGTAACCTGCATGGGTCTACGCGTTGGGAGAGCATCTCGTAAATGGAGTGGCTTTTTGGTCAAACCGGCGCAAATATTCATGCGGCCGGGTCGCATAAGCCGATGGTTCATAGTGGGCGAACATGTCGTTTCGCCTTCCGAGGACGAGCGTTCGGGGTGTGGCATGGCTGGATTCCAGGTGCGGAGGCATTTTGCGTCCGTTGGATCAAGAACGATCTGAGCCGTCACTAGCGCGTTGTTTTGCCTTCCGAGGATGAGCGTTACGCGGCGTGCTGCTGTTGGGTTGTGGAGGCGGTGACTCCTCAGCCGTTGGATCTTGGAATATCTAGGCCGTTCGTTCTCCTTTAAATAGTGCCCTTAGCGGCAGCACTCTTGTCATTTGCTTGCGCCTTTGCCTTCGAGTGAACTCAGTTTCCAAACTCCAACCTTCGACGATTCTTACTCTTTCTTACTTCACATTTCTTAGGTATTTTTAAACAATGCCTTTCTCAGATTCTGGACCTGAGTGTTATGATCTCCCGAATGAGTCGAAGGGGAGCTCTTCCTATACCCCTTCTCCCCTTTCTCCTTTGAGTTCTTCTACTCTTGCCCCCCTTCGGCAGGAGGTTGAGACGCTTCGGGGAGGGTAGCCTCTAAGGGTGCCGAAGGCAGCCGTCGAGGCAAGGACCCTCCCTGCGAGAGTGCCGCCTACATGACACCAAGGAAGGCCGAGGGGTCCTACCCAGCCGAGGTGGAGGAAACCCTAGACCCTGTTCCCAAGACGAGGGATGCCCAAGCAGTAGCTGAGACCGATGTCCTCCGCTTGGGTTTTGAGAATTCTCTGGATGGGGACCAGATCAAAGCTCTGGCCAGAAAGTACTTCATTCCCTCGTCCTGTGGTATGAGGGTGCTCGAAGTGGGCGAACGGCCGTGGACTCCTAAGGAGGGGGAGATCTGCATCTACCAACATTTTCTCTAATTTGGTCTTTGATTTCCCCTTCATCCGTTGATTTCTGAACTGTTAAGGGCGTATGAGATTACTCTTAGCCAGTTGGTGCCCAATGCCGTTAGGACTATAGTGGCCATGCTAGTGGTGGCTCGATTTCAGGGGGTGGAACTGACGCCAAGACTCTTCTGATCGTTGTTTGTTCCGAGGAAGCATTCTTCCGAGAATGGCATGTACTACCTCCAACCCTGTAGGACCAAGCCGATAGACAACCCTTCTTCCGTGCATAACTGGAAGGGAAAATTCTTCTTTTTGTCATGTCTCTAGGGTTGGACCTTCAGGTCGGAGTGGGGAGAGGTAAGCCAGGCTGTAGAGAAGAGTGTCTCCCTGCTCACGAGTGAGGAGAATGATGATCCCGTGTGGTTACTCGACTTGAGGAGAGTCCGAACCCAGCCTTTGGTGGAGGAGGAGGTCCCACTAGTTTTTGTGGGGCTCAACCCTGCTCCCCTCGGTAGGAGAGGCCCTGTAGTCCCTTAACATGTCATTTTCCTTTTTTTTTTGCTGCATTACTGATGCCTTTGCTTTGTTTGCAGAGGTGTCGATGGATACCCGCAAGGCTGTGTTGGAACATGTTCAAGCCATGCTGAAGGAGCGGGCTAAAATGCCTCAGAGGCCTTTTGACGGGTAGAAGGAGGTCTCTACCCCTACGAAGGGAGGGTCCTCTCGTCAGGTCCTTGCCAAAGGTACCACTCCAGCAGCTCCCACAAAGGGAGCAACATCACAAGTCCCTGCCAAGGGGAAGAAGCCCGCCGAGGAGGTGCACCAGGTTGAAGAAGCCCGCCCAAGAAATCGAGGCGAGACAGAAGAGGCCGGCTGAGGAAGCCGTGGGGGATCAGCCCCCACAGAAGGTGGCTCGCTCTGGGTGCTCGACGGGGGATGCCTCGTGGGGTCCCATAAAGAACGAATGGGGTCGTTTTCTTTCCCCACAACCTTGGAGGAGCACGCCGAGCGGTCTAACCAGATCTTTCGTCCCCAGTGTAATGTCCGCGAGGGGAACTCCATTTGGGAGGAGGGGGTTGGTCAAGCTGTGGTGAGCGGGGCCCTCCTCTCGAGGGACCGCTTTTAGATGCTGGGGAGCGCGCCCGAGAGAGTCTACACCCAGGGCTTGGGAAGCTTGAACAAGGTAATGCTTGTCCCTTTCCTTCATGCCTTTTTGTTTCTCTGTGGAATACTGACTATTTCTTCATTGCAGGTCTGCCTTCACTATGTTGGTCTTGGGGACCGGCTTAAGCTAACCTTTGCCTAGATGGACAAGCTGGAGAAGAAAAAGGGGAAGCTCCAGCAAGCTGCCACCGCGACCGAGGAATACCATAAGTTCCGGTAGAGCCTCATCGACGAATAGAAGTTTTGGATGGAGGCTCAAGCGCAGCTGAAGGAGGTGCAAGAGAGCCTTTCCAAGGAGCAGTTGGAGAGGGCCCGCATTGGAAGCCTTCTTTCCAAGGTTGAGTGACGCCTTACCCAGGCCAAGGGAGATGCTGTCGAGGCGAAGAAGAGGGTGGCCGAGGCAGAGAAGAGGGCTGAGGGAGCAGCAAAGCTTGCTGTAGAGGCCGAACAAAAGGCCACTGAGGCTGAGAAGAGGGCCCGGGAGGTAGAGAAGCGGGCCAAGTAACTGGCTGATCTTGCCTTTGGGGCTTACCAGGACGAGATTGAGGATACCAAGAAGGTGCTCACAGTGGATCTGCCTGACTTCGATGCCGAATCATTGAAGGTGATCCCTGATTCTCCCGAGAAGGCTGCCAACTCTACTCTTCCCCCTCCGATAGGAGGCGAGGCCTAAGCTGGTCTTTTTCTGTTTTCTTCTTCTCTCTTTTTTTGACAATGTACATGTATTCGGCCTTCGAG